CAGCTCCTCAAACTGCTCATCCTCCCCATGTTCTGGCCAGCTCCATTCCTGAGGTTATTCCGGCCCTTCCTTGTGCTGCTGCCTGGGAATTGCACTGAAATCCCTCAAACCGGGCCATTCACATCTGAGTTGGACTCTGTGGGTCCCTTCCCATCCTGAATATTCCTGGTTCTGTGACATTCCCAGGAGAAGAGGCAAACACTGCTGCCCATCCGCATTCCCGGGCGAAGTCACGGCTGGAATTCCACGAGCAATCCACGTCCCGCTGCCTTTTCCCAAGGAAAAGCCCAGCTGCACAACTCCCCCCCCCGCCACCCTGCACTCCCCAACAGGCCCCTCCAATATTTCCTTTTCCCTGATCTTTGGAAGTTGGCTTTTCCAAGCTGCGTGGTTTCCAGGGGCCGGCCACTGTCTGCTTTTCCCAGCTGGACACAGCGGAGTGGGACCAGCAGCTCCTGATCATTTCCATCCAAAGCCAGCAGCCAAAACCTTAGTGTGGGTCTCCTTTAGATCATCACCGATGCCAGGGAGTTTATTTCCCTCCTGCTATCCCACCCCTGGCTCCTTCTCCCAGGGTTTTGACGTGTCCAAGGTGACAGATTTGGGGTTTATAAATTACAGAAGAGAAATCAAAGGTAGAGAGAGGAGAAGAAACCAGTAAATGGGTTTTCCTGGTCTCTATGCTATGGGAAGGGCCCTCAAATAAGGTTTTAGTTAGAGACAAGTTGAAAAAAAGTTAAGAAATAGCCCCAAACCCCACCATGCCACGGCCCCCCAGGCTGTCCATCATCTCCCAGGAAAATCCAGATCTCCCAGTCCACTCCACCAGCAAACACAAGGGTTAAATACAGCAGAGGCAACAAAGCCAACCCTCTGGTTTGGATCTAGGGATGGCAAAAAGGACACCTGGGGAGATTTAAAGCAAAAAGGGTGAGGTATAAGGGGCCTGTGGCACTGGAGGGAAGCTCCTGCTGGAGCGGGGTGGGAGCTGGGGAGGGGGTGGGGAAGCAGGAAGGGCTGGATCCGTGCTCAGAGGGGAGATAAAAAATGTGTAAGGAGCAAAAAATACACAGGGCTAAATCCTGGTACAAACAACTGAGGCCCTTTTGGGATTGGGGAGGGACTTTGGGCAAGGGATGGGGGGACAGGACATGGGGGAATGGACTTAAGCTAAGGAGGGTGAGTTAGATGGGATATTGGGAAGGAATTCCTGGCTGGGAGGGTGGGCAGGCCCTGGCCCAGGTTGGGCAGAGAAGCTGTGGCTGCCCCTGGATCCCTGGAAGTGTCCAAGGCCAGTTTGGAGCAACCTGGGCTGGTGGAAGGTGTCCCTGCCCGTGGAACTGGATGGTCTTTAAGATCCCTTCCCACTCCAAGCGTTCCAGGATTCCTCCAGTGTGACACAGAGGATTGGTCTCAGCCCCACACACAGGTCACAATTTGTTCTCAGTGCACAGAATTAAAAGATATGGACAGTGTGGTTGGGTGTTCCCCACCCGCCACTTACAGCTGATGGAAATCTGATGGATCAGCTCCAAACTGGTGGGAATTGAGCAGTGCTGAGGTTTTTCCCAACCATCCATACTCAGCCTACAACCAGGAGTAGCTGCAGCACTCCCACCCCACTAGGAAACACAGGAGCAGCTACATTCACCTCCTCCCTCCCCCAACCAAATTCCAAAGGTCCTCCCTGATTTTAGTTCTCCCAGCCTCTCATTTTTGTAAGATTTTACTTTTAATGACTTCACACAGTGCTTTGCATCCTGAGTTCTTTCAGGATTGGTGTTTAGCTTGCAGCACAAAAAAACCCACCCCAAACCTAAACAATTAAAAAATCCTGATAGATTAGAGCTCACATCCCATCTCTTCCACCCACTGCTTCCCAAAGATATTCCCTATCTTTCAAATGGGAAATGCCACTGGAGAAAGAGGAAGCCTTCCAGCGAGCAGATACTTTTAAAGACAACTTGATGAACTCAAAACACACTTGTAACAAAGAGGAAACCGCTGAATTTCATACAGGAGGTTTTCTTTCTCCAAATTAAATTAACGGAGCCAATATGAAAAAATTCCAAGTGTTATAAACCCACACGGAGCTCCGAATTTTCTCCAAACACGTGAAGAGCAAAATAGCTTTCAACAGAAAGGAGAAAACTCCTGTACAACAAACACAAGGAGGTAGTTAAATAAAAAAATAATTAGGAAAAAAATTAATAATTAGGGGGGGGAAAAAAAACAAAACACCCAAGCTCTGTTTTCTGCCCCGGGCTCTGCTCTTTGGGAAAAGAGCTCGGGATCTTGAAGGGAACTGTCTGGGTTAATGACAGCTGATGTCCTGTATCCCGTGGCAGTAGCTGTGACCTCCAGGCCCCCCCGTGACTGACGGGGCTGACCCCGCTCACTCCGGGGTGTGACATAAATGACAACCAGGGAAGAGAAAGAAAGGCAGGAGAAAGGAAAACTCACTGCCGGCTTTGTAGCCGAGCTCCCTAATAAAACCTAATTCAAGCTGTCAGGGTGAAATGAAGAAAGTGTCAAAAGGGGTTTTCAGAGAAATATTCCAAATGTTTGGCTGGAAGAGGCAGCATTGGGGGCTCCCTTCCCCCCCCCTAGCTCCTCGGGAAGGGGCTGGAAAAGCCCAATGTCGAAAGGAATTTAAATTACGTGTCCAAAGGGACCCCCCCCCCCCCCCGAGGAGGGACCCAAGGGGATGGTTTTCCTTCCCTTCCCTGACAAAACCAATCATCCCTCAGGAGCCGCCGGCAGGAGGGGGGGAGAAAGGGCCCCCCCAGATCAGCGTCCCTCGCTCACAGGGACAGAATTCAAACCCTGCAGGGCACCAAAATGCCTGGTGAGCGCCCAGAGCGCTGTCCCAGCTTCACATCAGCGCTGGGGCATCCATGGAATGGGTTGGGTTGGAAGGGATATTAAACCTCAACCAGTTCCAAACCTCCTGCCATGGGCAGGGACACCTTCCACCAGCCCAGGGTGCTCCAACCTGGCCTTGGACACTTCCAAGGATCCAGGGGCAGCCACAGCTTCTCTGGGAAATTCATTCCAGGGCCTCCCCACATTCCCAGCAGCAGCTCCACGTCAGGTCATGGCCAGGATATGAATCTCCCCCCCTGCAACTCCCACCTCTTGCTAGTGCAGCTCTGCACGTGGAAGGGAAGAAGGATCCTTCCTTCCCGTAAAAATCTTGCAGGGAAGAAGGATCCCTGCTTGCAGTAAAACCCCCTGTTGTCAGTTTTTCTGCCTCTACCCAGCTGAAAACGCTGCTGAGTGCAAGCAAAGCAAAGCACCAACTTGCACTTTCTGGCCAATACAGTTGGTTTTCAACCTCACACACGTACACAGGGGTAAAACCAGCATCAAAGCACCTCGGGATGGAGAGAGAGGAGGGTAAACACTTGGAATATTTTGCAGGCTTTACCAAAAAAAAAAAAAAAAACAAACAATCACGTTATTTGTATGTAAACTCCCAAAAGAAGCAAGAAAAACAAACCCCCGAAACCAGGAGCCGAAACTCTTTCACACACCAACATCCAAAGCCCCAGAGCCTTCCTGACAGCACATCCATGGAATTCTGGGAGTCACATCCCTTGAGGGGAGGCCGGGGGGAAGTCAGAGATGTTCCAGGAGGCCCTGACCCAACGAGGAGTGGGCACCACAACCTTTCTTGACACAACCAGGTTCATTTATTTCCTACAGCTCCAGAAACATTTTTGGAGGAAACAACTCCCTCAGTTTTTATACAGCTGGGGTTGTCCTGGGCTGCCTTCCCTGGAAGTGTCCAAGGCCAGGTGGGACAGGGCTTGGAGCAACCTGGGCTAGTGGAAGGTGTCCCTGCCTGTGGTAGTTTTGAAGACACCACCGCTCCAAGGAGACCACCAGCCCCCTCCAGCCTGGACAGGGTTTATCCAAACAGCTGAACAAGGTGAAAGGTCGAAGAAAAGACCTTCTCAGTGAAACCCTGGAGCTCTCTGAGTGCAACCAACGCCAGGTGTGAAGGTCCTACCTCAGGTGAAGGTCCTCCGAGAACTTCAGGCAGGTGTAGATGAATTCCTTGATCTGATTGTAAACTTTAGGCACAGACTCGGAGAAGGGGAACTTCTTTGGAAAGGGTTGCTGTAAAAAAAAAAACCACAGGAGAGAGTCCCATGCAAGAGCAGCTACCCCCCCAGGAGACACCACTGCTCTCCAGCTGCGTGCTCCAAGCATTTGGATTAATTCCGGCATTTAGCAAATTCCAGCAAGGAGACAACGAGGCAATTCTTGGGGGTTTGTAAACACTTCAGCCCAGCAAAAGGCCACATAACCATTTAGCAATGGCACCTGAGCGCAGGAGGGATTTGGAGGCTGGAAGGATCTCAAAAAACAGGAGCCTCATTCCCCATCCCAAATCCCTCCCGGGAAAACACCCCCCGGGAGAACTCCCCGACGTTTCTCTCCCAGCCATGCACGAGGTGCTTTGCTTGGTCACCTCTCCCCCAGGTGCTGCCCGAGGTGAGAATTTGCTTAAAACACCAAAAACCAATGGGGAAACAGGTTTTCCTACACCAAATTTCCCCACCCAGCTTCTCCCCACACCACACGCTCAGTGGGAAGTGCAGTGACACAGTGAGACCCCGTGACTTCATTTGGGGGGAAGGACAAACACTTCCTGAAATCTGGCTCAAAACCCCTTCCCACTCCTAATGAAGTTCCCCCTGGGATGGAGTTTCCTGGCTGCCAGAAGGCCAAGCAGGATTTGGGGGGCACTGGCTACATCAGACTTGGATACACACCAGTTTTGGGAGCACACACTCGTGGAAAAGCCAAGGTACACCACCTGGTTGGGCTCTTTTTCTTTAGATAAGAGATTAAAACATATAAAGGTCAAGAACATGGTTCATAAAACAGGAATAATATCAATGGATATTTTAATCTCCCGTGCATTGCAAGGGCTGTTCAGCTGATTGCACATCCCTGAGGTGGAAACAAAAATCAACGAGGTTTTCCTCACCCACACCTGGAGAAACCCAACACATGGAAGGGATATTTGCTCTGTCCCCTGGTCTTGCTTTCTTTTCTGCTGTTTATGTGGTCTGGGGAGGTGGGTGTGGGTTATTTTTGACCCTTCCCTTGGCAGTTCTCCATGTCCCCCCCAAAGGGATGGGATGCTCCTGCAGCAGCAGCCACGCTCCCCATTCCAAGGCTCACCTTTTCAAGTTCAGGGTCCTGGAATGGGAACTGTCCAACTATTTTCTTGTAAAGTTCTTCATTTGACACCGGGATGGGGCTGTAGTTGTCTGAGTCAAGTATATTTCTAAGGAAAGGAAAGGAAAGTTAGAAAGGGAGCTCTGACTGTCCACGTGAGCTCCATAATGGAACCAGAGCCCTGTCCCCCTGGGATGCAAAGCCTTTGGTCTGCCCAGATTTATGGCACCGATCTCAGCACTCACAGGATCCCCACAACTCTATTTCAATCGGCTCTCCCTGCTCCAGGATCTTACTGAGTCCTGCTGTTGCCCAAAATTAAAACATGAACTTGCAATTATGGTGCTTTCCCCACCCCTGGAAGTGTCCAAGGCCAGGTTGGAGCAATCTGGGATAATGGAAGGTGTCCCTGCCCATGGCAGGGGGTAGAACAAGATGGTCTTTAAGGTCCCTTCCAACCCAGAGCATTTGGTGATTCTCTGATTAAACCCTCAAAAGATTTTATTTAGGGGCCAAGACACCTCTGGGAGGGGCATCTCCTGGGTCTGCTGGAAGAGCCTCTTACCTGAAAACTCCTGACCATTTCTTCAGGAGGGTTTCACTGTACTGGTCCTGGATCTCCAACAGCATGTCAAAGAGCTGGTTCACTGGGAAGCCATAGCCCTGGGATGAGGGAAGAGAGCAACTTCAGGGGGGGGAAAAGCCACCAACAGGCAGTTGGAGATCATTTTCTCTATTTAACAGGGGGCAGGTGGGCAAACCCTCCTCTACCGCCACCCCAGAGGTGAAGGGTGCTGGTGGATGGATTTAGGGGCTGATTTACCAAGGACTATCAAAGGCTTGGTCCGTGGGCAAAGCAGGTTCCCCAGTCCAATGCCAAAAAAGAAGCCAGGCCAGCACAGCCAGCCCTCAGCAGCTGTTCAGCCCTCTGGTGGGCACACCTGTGACCATGGAGTGGGCTGAAGAGTGGTCCCCACCCCCTGTGTACCTGGAGTGTGTCAGCAAAGAGGACGATGAGGTTCTTCAGGTCCAGCACCAGGCTGGGGTCGGAGCAGTAGGACTGCAAAGAAGGGGAGAAATTAAAACACGGCTTTCACTGCACAGCACGGAAAAAAAATCCTGCCCTCAGCCCCCCTGTGTTATCTCTGGGGCGATAACAAGGGCAGGGCCTCACGATCAGCTGCTTTTATCCCGCAGCAATGTCACCCAGGGCCAGGCAAGGGGGGCTGATAAGGGTATCTCCCCTCCCAGCGCTGCTCTCCAGGCCTCTCCACGATGCACAAGAGCTTTGGGTGCTCCAGAGATACCTGAAGTGTCTCTAAGATTCCCCAGGAGCTGCTGGGAGAGCGAGAGGAGACGCAGCAAATCAACACACTGTCAGGGCAGGACGACAGCAGCTCCTCCTGCAATATTTACCGTGTTGTGTCTGACGGTAATGAAGCAGCAGCGGCTCGGGCCGAGGGGAAAACGCTTGGATTTCAACAAATGAACGGTCAGAACTCCAACACAAGGATTTATTGTAGGTCAGGGCGCTGCTCAAAGCCCCCAAAGACACGGCTGAGCGTGGTGACAGCGCTGGTGTCCCCCCCCAGAGCCACCCCACGTGCTCGCTCTGGACACACAAAAACTCCCCGTGCTGGAAGATGCAAAAGTTTCAGACAGATTTTTGCCCAAATATAGAATCAGGGATCACGAGCTGGAAAGAAGAGAAGCAGATTTGAAGGGAACAGATTTAGAGCTCGCTGGAAACTCCAGGAGGAACAGCTCCATTAATCAGTGGGAAAGGCTGGAAGACATACGTTTTTCCAGCTCAGTGTCCAAAAAAAAAAAAAGAGAGTCAGAAGGAAAGATAACGCCCTAAAGCTCTCAGAAGTGATAGAAGATGTCCCTGTCTGCAGCGAGGAAGAAAAAGCAGGCGTAAATTTGGCTGAATTGGAAGAACTGAAACAACCTCCCCAAGGTGAGACCTCCCCCTGGGGTCCCAGTATGGGATGGAGGGCACTGGTGTGTGTGGGAGCCCGAGGGTGAGCTGTGCCCAGGGAAAAGGGTGATGACCACAGGGGTGGTGCTGGGAAACCGTGGAATGCTCCCTGACTGCTGCAAACCCCTGTCCTGGCAGCCACTTCACGCAGCAAGTTTGGCATCACTTGAAACAACCTGTCAGGGCCCGGCCCCCCTCCTGCTCCCACTTTAAAGGCAAACAAACACAGGTTTACAAGCCAGTGGGGTGTTTTGGAACACAGGAGTTCGGTGGAAGGAGCCAGGGAACACTGGGAAGCTTCTGTGGTCCCTCAGCCCAAAGAGCTCCAGGTCTAGAGAAGAGTCATGGAATGGGTTTGGTTGGAAGGGACCTTCCAGACCATCTGGTTCCACCCCGTGCCATGGGCAGGGACACCTTCCATCAGCCCAGGTTGCTCCAGCCTGGCCTTGGACACTTCCAGGGATCCAGGGGCAGCCACAGCTTCTCTGCCCAACCTGTGCCAGGGCCTCCCCATCCTCCCAGACAACAATTCCTTCCCCATATCCCATCTAACCCTGCCCTCTGGAACTGGGAAGCCATTCCCTGTGTCCTGTCACCCCATGGATTATCCCCACCTGCCAAGCTTGAAGTCAAGAGCACATTCCTGCAGAACTCTGTGTGGTTCGGAACCAGCAGCTTTTTGTGTCTCCACACAGGAATTTTAGGGTTTCCTCAGCAAAGGACCTTTGGGTTTCCCCCCACGTTCCCAGGACACCCCATCAGATGCAGACCTGCACCCCCAGCATGGGCAGCCCCTGCTGTGCCAGCCCCAGGGAGCTGTGGGGGCATCAGGGCCTCAACACTTTGTACTCCCTGGAGAAAAGGGCCCAACAATTTAAAAACAGACTCGTGGAAACTCATTAATCACAGAGTGTGCTGAGTTGGAAAGGACCTACAGGGACCAGCCAGTCCAACCCTCAGCCCTGCACAGACACCCCAACAATCCCCCCCTGTGCCCCAGAGGATCATCCCAACCCTCCTGCAGCTCTGGCAGCCTTGGGGCTGTGCCCACTGCCCTGGGGAGCCTGGGCAGTGCCAACCACCCTCTGGGGGAAGAACCTTCTGCTGAGATCCACCCTGAGCCTGCCCTGGCACAGCTCCAGCCATTCCCTGGTCCAACAGAGGGTCTGGTCCTTCCTCTTCCCCTCCTGAGGAATGTGCCAAGGAGATGCTTTCCTCCCCCTCCATTTTTTGGGGGGGCAAATCAAATCCCTCTGCAGGTGCTTCTCAAAAATAATCAGTGACATAACAAGGAGAAAATAAACATAAAGTCTGCTGCTTGAAAATACCGAGTCCTGTAGGGAAATGAAGTGAATCCCGGGAATGGGAGCGGGAATGAGCTGCGTGCCTTCGTGTTCTCCTTAAAACACTCATTGGGAAAATAAGGGAGGGAAAGCACGGAATAATTTGAAAAAGTCAATATTAAACCACGACAGGTCATAGCCAAGGAAGGGCTAAGGCAGCCAAGGCTCCCACTCACCGAGTGTGTCCGGAGGGCGGCGATGGTTTTGGACAAGGCCATTTCCCACAGCTCGTCCAGGTAGGCGCGATTGACCAAGCCCTGAGTCGTGTGCAGGATGTGATCCTCCACCACAAAGAACCTGGGAGAGGGGGGACAACAGCCCTGCGTTCACATCCCGCCTCTGGAGACATCCCTGAGCCCCCCAGGAATGGATATGTGGGATGGGAGCACACGGAGATTGAGTATTGGAGGTGCCCACGTGGAATTTTGGCAGCACCGGATGGTTTATTCCCCCTTTTTTTTTTAACCCCACGGGGGGTTTTGGTGTTGGAGAGGGGAGTTAAAACCCCGGGAATGTCACTCTGGAGGAGGCACAAAGGGAGAACTGCCCTTCTCCAGGTTCTCCAGCTTGTTATTCCCAAAGGAGCCGCTGGGTAAACTTGGTAAAAAGTGCATTAAGGGCAGGGAAAAAACACTCCAACTGCTGGGAAAATGGTTTATCGGCAGGGAAAAATGGTTTATCTGCAGGGAAAAATGATTTAAGTGCAGGGAAAAATTGTTTAGATATAGGCAAAAATTTATTTAAATGCAGGGAAAAGGATTTAAATGCAAGGAAACATTATTTGGATGCAGGGGAAAACGCTCCAATTGCAGGGAAAAATGTTATAACTGCAGGGGAAAATTATTTAAATGCAGGCAAAAGTTCATTTAAATGCAGGGAGAATTAGTTAAATGCAAGGAAACATTATTTAAATGCAGGGAAAAATTATTTAATTGCAGGGGAAAATGCTCCAATTGCAGGGAAAAATGTTGTAACTGCAGGGGAAATTTATTTAAATACAGGGGAAAGTTATTTACACGCAGGGGAAAGGGTTTTAACTGCAGGGAATAATGCTCAAATTGCAGGGAAAAGTGTTCTAAGTGCAGGGAAAGATGTTCTAAAGGCAGATAAAATGCTTTAACTGCAGGGAAAAATGCTCTAATTGCAGGGGAAAGGCTTTTATCTGCAGGGAAAAATGTCTTAAGGACAGGGGAAAATGTTTTATCTGCAGGGAAAAATGCTCCAATTGCAGGGAAAATGCTTTATCTACAAGGAAAAATACTTAAAGTGCAGGGAAAATGCCTAAACTGCAGGGGAAAATGTTTCATCTACGGGGGAAAATGATTTACCTGTAGGGAAAAATGCTTTAACTATGGGGAAAAATGATTTTAAGTTCAGGGGAAAATGTTTTAAATGCAGGAAAAATGCTCCAACTGCAGGGAAAAATGCTTTAACTGAAGAGAAATATGTTTCAAGTACAGGGAAAAAAGCTTTAAATGCAGGGAAAAAATGCTTTTCGGTACAGGGAAAATGGTTTGTCTACAAGGAAAAATGCTCCAACTGTAGGGAAAATGTTTAAATTACAGGGAAAATGCTTTATCTGCAGGAAGAAATGCTTTAACTGAAGGGAATAATGTTTTAAGGAAAGGGAAAAATGCTTTAAATACGGGGAAAATGCTTTAAAGTACAAGGAAAAGTGTTCTAACTGAAGGGGGAAAATAATTAATCTGCAGGAAAAAATGCTTTAAGTACAGGGAAAATACTTGAACTGCAGGGAAAAATTATTTAACTACAAGGAAAAATGCCTTTTTTTTTTTTTTTTTTTTTTTTTTTTGCAGGGAACAGATATTGAAATTATTATCATGAGGTGAATTGTCCCCTGGGTTTGATGGATCAAAAGTCTCTGGGAGTCTCCTGTGGGAGCTGGGATGGGTTTGGAAGACTCTTGTCAAATTTGAGTTGATAATAAAGAACAGGGGATTGAGAATCCCCTCC